CTCAGCTTAGAGGATATGATAGTTTTTTCATCATAACATAAATATCTTTTAATGATTTTATAGTATTATTTTATAATTAGATTTTTAAATATGTGGTAAAATTATTAATATAACCCTTTAATAAAATAATTAAATGCATGTTGCACAATTACCTTTTTGTATTTTTAAATTTTATAGAACAATTAAATTACTATATTAATTTTATAATTCAAATTGTTTTACCTTTAGTTTCAAGACTTGCTTACAATTTCACCATGATTTGTTAGTTCATACTCAGATTGCGTGTTGACCATGCAAAAATTCATATGAACTCTTCAATCTATTTTCTTTTTTGATTCAATCCCTCTTCTCTTATTCACAAATATTTTATTAGTCAATTCTAATTAAATTTTATTTTTGATTCCATCCTTGATTATTTAATTTTTTTAATATGTTTTTAAATTTAGTTTTTATTTTTTAAATTTATATTTTTTTTGAATCATTTTTTGATTGATTTTTTTTCAATTCTACCTCTAAACATTTATTTTCATTTAATTTTTATGTCAAATTTAATCCTGATTCTTTTAATCGTTTTCTTAATGGATTTGTTTTGTATAATTCTATCCCTAAACATTTAATTTCATTTGATTTTTCATTAGAAATTTAATTTCTTTTTAGTTTTTTGTTGAATTTAGTTCTAATTCTTTGAATTTCTATTTTTTTTGTTTTGCATTTTTTTCTCTTTTTAATGTTTGTTTGATTAATAATCTTACTTATTTGTTTTTTTGGGTTTGTTTTTAATGGGGTCACTAGAGTCTCTTGACATGAATAACAAATCTAAAAGATTAACTCTAGCTGAATTTAATTTTTTTTAAAATCATTCTTTTAAATATTTTTTGCCATTATTGTTTTGCTTTCCTATTTCTAAGAATATTCCAATTTCATGTTGTAGGTTATGTGTTTGATTTGTTGACCTAGGTCGGCTATCAGGTTCGCTCGAGAATTTTTTTCTTAATTGTTTTTTGCTTTGATAATTTTTTTTAAATTAAATTAATTGAGAATTATGCTTCTAGATTGAATTTGGGTAAAAAATTTAATGAGATGTGACTTTTAGAGAATAAACCAGTATTAAGAGGTTTGCCTTGTTTTTTTTTTTTTTCTAAATTGATGTTGTCTTATTTTTTTTTTAAGTTTTATTTTGTTATTTTTTTGGTTTAATTCTTCTTGTTATTTTTTTTAAACTTTTGTTTGCTTATTTTTCTTGGTTTGATTTTATTGAGTTAACTCTCAATAATTTTTTTTCTATTTCATCCCTACCATTTTGTAATCTATAAATAATTTATCATATTACAAATGATTTGCAATTTAACCCCCTAGAATTTTGTAATCTTTCATGTTTGGTCATAATTCTTTTACTCATAATTTTTTTTGTGATAATTCTTTTTTTTTGTAAGTTTTTTATTAATAGTTTTTTCAATGATTTTGTTTTTCAAAATTAAATTGGATGATATTTAAACTTCTTAATTGAACTCGAGTCTATAATTTAATAAATTATAGTTTTTTTAGATTGGACTAAATTTATGAGGTTTGTCTAGGATTACTATTTTTTTAAGCTGATATTTTCTGTATTTTTTATAGTTTGATTTTTTTTAATTAGGTTAGCATTGAATTATTTGATAATCTAAATAGACATAAGTCTTTAGTTAGGTTAGTATTGAGTTATTTAATAATTTAAATAAGTTCAGGTGTAATTATTATTTTTTGTTGTTTTTTATCAATTTATTTATTTTTTTTATAAATATTTAAATTGTTAATTTAACAAATGTCTTGCAGCTTAAATTTTTTAAACATATCATTTCTTTTACATTAAAATAAAACTTGTTCAGCCCGCGGTGCAGCCTATCTAAAATTTAAATATAATAATGATGTCTTTCCAGAAAAATACTTCGAGCTGGTTATTTGAAATTCGAAGGTTGTTTTTCATTTTGATTCGTTTTGCTGTCAGTAATGAGTAACTATGTTTGATTGATTGTCTTATAACCGTACGAATCTTGGATCTTTGGACAGATTGTCCGCTCTTCATGTCTCTTTGGAAGCTTATCGATGTATGCAGGCTGGTCCTCCTTTCTTTCTTACAATCTACCAATTGGAAATTAGTGGATTGCAAAACTAATTTGTAGAACCTTCTATACTTTTATCATAAAAAGACACAAAAATAAAAATGGAGCACTAGGCTTATGCATGACCTCTTGGTATGATGACCCAGATATGATTGTTTAGCCCACAAATTGATGTCACGTGGAGTTTTTACTCTGTCTCATATATATTATTTTCAATGGATAGCATAAGAGAATTTATTTAACTTTATCATCTATACTTTATTTAATTTTATCTATTTTTTATTTTTTATATTTTTATTCGAGAATCTTTTCTATATATATATTCCTTCAATTATTATTAAATTTCAATCAAATTCCTGAATGACAATTTTCTATATTAAACCTCAATTATTAACAACCAATGAACAACATTTGAATCATAACAATCCAAAATAGTTATAATTATTACATAAAACTCTAAAATGTATAGTGTTTTCTCTATAAAAAAAATAAAAATAAAAATTGTGTTGCACCGATAAAAAACTCATAATTGTGGATTTACTATACATTTTGTTTTTTTTTCTTCTCATTTTGGTAATAAAACTTTTATTTTGAACATGTGTAGCATGTCGAGAGGTAGTGTAAAATGTACACTTTGGTCATACATCTTTACAAATAATATCATTTAGGTTAATTTAAATGTCAAAATTTCAATTTTGATTAAGAACTTTTTTTTTAAAATCGTTAGTCCATTGTTAAGAGAAAAAAGAGAGAGAGAGCATCGCTAGGTATTAACAATATGATATAAAGAGAAAGTTGTCATTGACACTAATTCCAACTATGAAAACACTCCATCTTGTATTTTATAGGTTTCATTTAATTAAAAGTTTAACTTGAGTGTTATTAAAAGTAAAACTAACCTTGAGATATTTTTTGGTTGATTTTGGGTTTTTAGACCAATGTTTAGGTTGTTTGAAGGTATAAACAAGTTTATTTAGGTCTCTAGATAGTTTTTTAGGTATTTTTAAGGCCAGAAAAGGGTTGAAAAACAACTCTTTTTTTGTTGAAAACCCACTACCTTATTTTTCTTACGACTCTTTAATTGTCAGATTTTAATATATATAAACAACACAATATTTGTATTATATTTTTCTAAAAAAATGAGAGCAAATGATGTGTTGTTTATCATATATTATTTGAAAAAAAATAAAAGCCTGGTGTTAGAGCTCTAGATGTGAGGAAGCGCCAACAAATACACACTGCTTATAATTCAACAGCGATGGACAGCAATAGCCTTGCATAGGTTGCAATGAATTTAGCAAGCAATATGTGATGATTCATGCAAGTCATTGAGATCTTAACTTAGCGTGGATGTGGAGCTTAGATCATGGACCTTTTAAGTTAGCAACACATGTAACAAAAACTGGGAGTTAGGACTACCAAGTAGACATGTAAAACATAAGTTAGTGGTGGCAGTTATGGACATTCAAATCATGGATACATGAGGGTAGAACATGGGGCAAAACTGAGTTGCTCTACAAGCTACTAAAATCATGGGATCATGGGGAAGAAACTGCTTAGTACTTGTTGGAAAATAGGCTATTAAGTTCATAGAGAACATAAGAGAGAAGGTGTTCCACTGTGTTCTAAAAAAATAAGGATCATGGTTGTGCCTTGTAACTCATATATCTTTGTCTATAAATAGGCTGCAAAGCCTTAAGTGTGTAGGATGTGATTTATGTGTATAGCACACACTCTTGTATTATGTAATTCTTTGCTGACGAGATTAAAAAAGGATTAGAGATCTTCTTATAGTTTTGGTATCCTTTGCTTGTGTTTGTTATTTGCTTACGATAAGATAATTATGGAAACCTTTTTGAGTGAGCGAAACAAACAATCATAGAAAACACCAGCGAAAAGGATGGGGCAAAACTTAGTCTAGTTAAGCACTAAAATGCCATACAAGGTTGGATAGTGGGGTGAAAAATTTAATCATGTGACACCTAATATGGTGACCAGGACATTTATATAGGTTAGGTACGTGACCAACACACTTAGCCTTTTTTTTTTCTTTTTTTTAATGAATTCTTTGTAGTTATTAAACCCAACCTAAGATAAGGATTGAGAGATGTTCTAGGCATATTAAAAAAAAAAACCCATTGTAATGTACTGTTAACACACTCATAGATTAATGTGGATTCATTACACATTTGTGATTTGATTCTAAAAAAAGATCAATTGCTTTCTAATTTTTTATGAAAAGAAACAATTGAAAGATGAATGGTTAAAGTGAAAAATTATTCAAAATGGGTAGTGTGTCCAAAGTTAGTGCAAAATGTACACTTTGATCCTTCATCTTTACAAGTAATATCATCTAGGACCATTTAAATATTAAAATCTCAATTTTGATCCACAAATTTATTTTTCATATTTCTAGTCCTTGATTAGAAAAATGAGAGATAGAGAATTCCTAAACATTGGTGAGAAAGAAAAAATTATTGTTTACACCAGTTTTTAGAAATAATAATAATAATCTTGCATCTAGGTCTAGACAATGGTGATAGAAAATTGTTGCCAGCAATTTATTTTTTTTACAGAAAAAAGGATCTAACCCGGGCTATAGGATTGTGCTAGGAAATTGAGGATGTCGAAAGGAAGGGTGAGACTGGAAAGTAATTTTGTTTTATGTGTTTGATTGCCAAGAAATATTAAAGTTGAAAGCTATTCATTTGCATCTGTGTTGGTCTGGTCAGAGCTAGAACTGAACAAACTCAATGCAATACAAAACACAAGAAACAAGGAATTAGAACAAAACTTTGACTAGAAACTATTTTTCTGGATTTCGGTTTTCTTTGAGCTCTAACATCAGTCATCATGTGAAACAGGAGATGATTTGCTGACAATATCCGAAAACAGTTCGAAGAAAACCATTGATACAGAAGCGATTGCATACCAAAACCTGGATTATTCACTGGAGGAGAGAAGAAAAATCAAGCATGAACTTCAAGAAGAGAGCATCATGACGAGTACGAAGAGGAAGATCACAACGCAAAACAGGAAATGGGTTCCGAGAATGGTTTTTATTCTTAATTCCTTTTGTGATTTACAAAGAAACTAATGTGTTTAAGAGTTAATAAATATACCTTAATGCTTGGGGCAAGTGAAACATTTTATTATTAGAAAAAAAAAAACCCAGAAAGGTGGTTGGAAGTCATTTTTCAACTATGTATGAAATTTCTTTTAACTCCCAGAAAGTTACATGATACCCCAGCTACAATTATCCCACTGAAAGATCTTGAGCTTCTTCGAGATCAGAATGGTGAAAATCAATTTTCATTTGAGCAGAAGAATCAAATATCAAATGTTGGAACTTGAGAAGTAGAGCCGTTCGTGGCCTGGTAAGATAGTCGGGCCAATATGTTCCTATAAGGATTGGTCTCTCTCTTCTCCTTCAAAAAACCAATGCACTTCTCCACCTCAGATTTGATTTGCAGGTATAATTCATGAGCTTTCTCCCTGTCTCTTAATTCATGCCTCCTCCCTTCACAACATATATGATCAAATATTCAATGAAACCTCCTTGCATTAAGAATTTTAAGCAAAAGTTACAAACTTTCAATGACACCTACCCTAGTTAAGTTAATTATCAGCTACCAAAGTGAACTGGGTCCTTGAAATTGGTCACAGTGATTGATTGAATTTATGCTATGTATTCTGGGGTTTAAATACAAGGGGTGACCAATGAACATACCTTCTGTTTCTATCGGTTTTCCAAAGTAGTAATAGAACCTGCCTGGAAATTTTGGTAAAATTCCCAAACGATGCATATTTTGATTTCCCACCTCACCATCTTCTTCAGTCCTGTCATCACAGCAATATGATATCTCTAAAACGAAAAGCTGAAAAGGAAAGGAAAGGGAACTTGAAATAAGGATTTGGTAGCAAAATGATTTAATGATCTCAGTAAACATACCTCACTCTCACACCCAGTTCATCTGCTACTGCTTCTATGTAATCCCTAAGGAACGGAATCCTCATTTGATCATCATAGTCAAAAACAACCTGAGTTGATGAATATGGAACCGATTATTTCTTAGAGAGTAGAGCTTATTTCGGAGCTAGTTTGAGAGATTTTGAATTCGACACGGGTGAGTTATGCATGGTGTCAGTCCCTAACTAGTGGGCGAATCCATAAAATTTTAAACTAAAAGGCAAATTATATATGCGTGATATTATATATTATATACAAAGATTAGAAAGGAAACTTATTTATAAAATTTTAATTTTTTATTTTTAAATTAATTATTTTAGTATCACTTTAATTACTGGAATTAAAATGATAGAGAAATCAATTTGAAATGCATGTACTAACTCATGTCAAGCAAAATTAATTTAAAAATATTTTTAAAATAAAAAAAATTACATTATAATTATTTTTTTCAAGTTTTTATATTTTAAAATTGCTTAATAATGACTTCATTATTAATTTCATTAAAGATATTCTTTCTCAATATATACAATTAAACTTTCATTCATCTATTTCTAAATCTTTTAGGGATTAGTGAAATTATTAGTAACAATTCTTTATTGATTTGTTATTTTATACAAGTGAATTAAATATAAATATTAATATATTTTTTTTAATTTTTTTATTGCATCCTTGATTTTTTGAGTTGTTTAGTATTTCATTTTCAATTACTAGTACGTTGATTACTATAATTTTTTATATGAAATTCATAAAAAAATTCATATTAATTAATCAAAACTCATTTCAATTCATATTCATATGCATATAATATTAATATACATATATTAATAAATTATCATATTATTAAGGAATAAAACTAAAACTAAATAATAAAATAAGTAAAAAAAAATAAAGGAAATTCACCTAAAATATTAAACATAAAGTATAAAAGATTATTTAACTAATTAATAGTTTAGGACTAAAACTTTTATAGAAGAAAAGGAGTAGGAACAATAATTAAAAAAAAAAGAAAAACTTGTTAAATTATTATATTAAAATTTTAATATAAAAAATATTTTAATAATAAAAAAAAAAGAATTAAGGGGCAATTGCCCCCTTAATCTCCATTGGGGCTCCGCCACTGTCCCCAACACATGTATAAATACCAGTAAACTTGAGATCACAAGCTTTTATGCAACTCCCTTGCAGCATTAGTAAGTTCATGAAGAGACTGCTGTCATTTTAGTTTTTGCTCGTTTTACCACATCAAACATTTCTAGCACACTTTTGTGAAATCACCCTAACATTGTTGACAAAAACAACAATGTTTGTCAACAATGTTAGGCACAAATTTGTCAACAATGTTAGGCACCAATTTGTCAACAATGTTAGGCATAAATTTGGTGCCACCTACCTTGCCCTTGTCTTTTGCATGGATGTTTGCCTATACTTGCTCTTATCTTTTGCATGGATGTTTGCCTATAAATAGGCAATGCATTCAAGCATTATAGACACACCACAAGAGAGAAAGAAGAGAGGGTGAGGAGAGAATAATCCCACAAAATTGTGAGGTATTTGTGAGATAGTAAGTGAGGTGTTTTTCTCCTAATAATAGAGAGATTTTGTTGTTCTCCTATTATTAGAGAGAAGTTGTATTCCCACATTACTTAGTAAATCCTTCTATACTTGTCCGTGGACGTAGCCAAATTGGGTGAACCACGTAAATTCTTGTGTGTCATTTCTCATTTTATCTTGTCCCTTACCTTTTGTCTTGTCGGGTTTGCATGCCAGCATCCTAACAGTGGTATCAGAGCCTTCTGGTTGGTGTTGATTAATACACAAAAGTTATTCGTGTATACGACACTATTCACGTATACGGTACTATTCATCCATACGGTACTGTTCACATACGTTGCTGTTGGCGTATATAGAAAGTCAGTGCGGTGATTAAATACAGTCTAGGAAGTTCTGTCTAAGGAGATTGAGTTTTAAGCGGGACCGTTTATGACCCCTCCAATCTTTCCTAGGAACTTACTTAGTGAAGTATTATTCACACGATACTATTTCTATATACGTTACAGATCTGTGAAACAGTGATAGTTGAATAGATCTTGGTGAATACAATGGCAGCAAAGTACGAGATTGAGAGGTTTAATGGGAGCAATTTCTCATTGTGGAAAATGAGAATTAAGGCAATCTTAAGGAAAGATAATTGCTTGGCAACAATTGGGGATCGGCCCGCGGAGATCACTGATGATGCAAAATGGAATGAGATGGATGGCAATGCTATTGCTAACATACATTTAGCATTAGCCGATGAAGTATTATCAAGTGTGGCGGAGAAGAAAACAGCTAAGGAGATATGGGAGACTCTAACAAAGCTATACGAGTCCAAGTCTTTGCATAATAAGATTTTCTTAAAGCAGAGACTTTATACCCTTCGAATGGCAGAAACCACATCGGTGACTGACCATATCAACACAATAAGAACTCTATTTTCACAACTCACTTTATTGGGTCAGCAAATAGAGGAAAATGAACGTGCAGAGCTTCTACTTCAAAGTCTTCCTGATTCGTATGATTAACTCATTATCAACTTGACAAATAATATCCTCTCAGATTATCTAGTCTTCGATGATGTTGCAGCCGCTATCTTGGAAGAAGAAAATAGGCGCAAAAACAAAGGAGACAGAAACAGTTCAAACCAAGCAGAGGCATTACTGGTGTCAAGAGGAAGATCAACGGAGCGTGGCTCTAGTGGGAGTCAAAGGCAGGGGAGGTCCAAATCAAGAAGTAAGAAGGCTGTGAAATGCTACAACTGTGGCAAAAAGGGGCACTTCAAAAAGGATTGTTGGTTTAAAAAGGGTATAGAGAATTCTGTAGAGTCATCAAAATCTCAAGGGTGTGTTGCGAGTACCTCAGAAGATAGAGATGTTTTATATAGTGAAGCAGCGACAATCTCTATAGATACAGAAGAGCTCACTGAGGTCTGACTAATGGATTCAGGAGCAACATGGCATATGACTCCTAATCGAGATTGGTTCCATACATATAAGCCCATCTCTTGAGGCAAAGTGTTCATGGGTGATAATCATGCTTTAGAGATTGTCGGCATTGACACCATCAAATTGAAGATGTATGATGGCTTAATTCGTACTATTTCAGAAGTGCGACATGTGAAAGACTTAAAGAAGAATCTTTTGTCTATAAGACAATTTGATAGTCTTGGCTGTAAGATCCGAACAGACAATGGAATTATGAAAATCATCAAAGGAGCGCTAGTGGTTTTAAAGGCAAGAAAGACAGTTGCAAATGTATTTGCATTAATGGGAGAAACACATCATGAGGCAGAAGCATCAATCGCATCAGCCAGTCCTGCAGAAGAGAAGACGATGATGTGGCATAAAAAACTAGGTCACATGTCAGAAAAAGGTTTAAAGGTTCTCTCTGATCAGAAGTTACTTCCTAGGCTTACAAAGGTTACTTTACCTTTTTGTGAGCATTGTGTTACAAGTAAACAACATAGGTTGAAGTTTGGCACATCAACAACTAAGAGCAAATGCATCTTAGACCTGATTCACTCTGATGTATGGCAAGCACCGGTTATATCCTTGGGAGGAGCAAGATACTTTGTATCATTCATAGATGACTTCTCCAGGAGATGTTGGGTGTATCCAATTAGAAGGAAGGCAGATGTGCTTACAGTCTTTAAAACTTTCAAAGCGCGGGTGAAACTTGAATCTGAAAAGAAGATCAAGTGTTTGAGGACTGACAATGGAGGAGAATATACTAGTGATGAATTTGATAACTTCTGTCAATATGAAGGTATCAAAAGGCAGTTCACAACGGCATACACTCCACAACAAAATGGAGTGGCAGAGCGGATGAACATAACTCTATTAGAAAGAACAAGAGCAATGTTGAAAGCTGCAGGTCTAGGAAAATCATTCTGGGCAGAAGCAGTCAATACCGCCTGTTATGTGATAAATCGATCTCCATCAACCGCAATTGAGCTAAAGACACCGATGGAGATGTGGACTGGAAAACCAGCTGATTATTCTTGATTGCATATATTTGGAAGTCCTGTGTACGTGATGTACAATACACAAGAAGTTAGCAAGCTGGATTCAAAATCCAGAAAATGTGTATTTTTGGGATATGCTGATGGAGTGAGGGGGTATCGCTTATGGGATCCCACTGCCCACAAGGTAGTGATCAGCAGAGATGTCATATTTGTAGAAGGTAAAATGCAAATGGAAGAACATAATATCATTCTAAAGGAGACTACAGCAGTCCATGTGGAAAATACTCAGAATCATGCTTCTTCTGAAGCTTTACCAGAGCATGAAGAGCAAGAACAAATAGAGTCTGAAACTCCTAAAGTTCGGCAGTCAACTCGTGAAAGAAGACCACCGGCTTGGCACTCAGAATATGTTACTGAAAGTAACATTGCATACTGTCTTCTAACAGAGGATGGAGAGCCATCAACTTTCCATGAGGCTATCAAAAGCACAGATATATCTATGTGGATGACAGCAATGCAAGAGGAGATTGAAGCTCTGCATAAGAATAATACTTGGGATCTTGTTCCGCTACTACAAGGAAGAAAGGCCATTGGCAACAAATGGGTTTACAAGATAAAACGTGATGGCAATGATCAAGTGGAGCGGTATCGTGCAAGATTGGTGGTGAAAGGATATGCTCAGAAAGAAGGAATAAACTTCAATGAGATATTTTCTTCGGTGGTACGACTTACGACAATTAGAGTAGTCTTAGCAATGTGTGCTATATTTGATCTTCACTTGGAGTAGTTAGACGTGAAAACTGCATTTCTTCATGGATAACTTGAAGAAGAAATTTATATGCTCCAACCAGAGGGTTTTGCTGAAACAGGCAAGGAGAACTTGGTTTGCAGGTTGAACAAATCTCTATACGGTCTCAAACAAGCGCCGAGGTGTTGGTATAAGAGATTTGATTCCTTCATAATTAGCCTTGGGTACAACAGACTCAGTTCAGACCATTGTACGTATTACAAGAGGTTTGAAGAAGATTTCATCATTTTGTTGTTGTACGTGGATGACATGTTGGTGATAGGCCCCAACAAAGATCGAGTCCAAGAATTGAAGGCATAGTTGGCTAGGGAATTTGATATGAAGGACTTGGGACCAGCAAACAAGATTCTAGGGATGCAAATTTACCGAGACAGAAGTAAGAGGAAGATTTGGCTTTCTCAAAAGAATTATTTAAAGAAGATTTTGCGACGCTTCAACATGCAAGATTGTAAGCCAATTTCCACCCCACTTCCTATTAACTTCAAATTATCCTCAAGTATGTCTCCTAGCAATGAAGCAGAGAGGATGGAGATGTCTCGAGTACCGTATGCATCAGCAGTGGGAAGTTTAATGTTTGCCATGATATGTACAAGACCAGACATTGCACAAACAGTGGGAGCAGTTAGTCGATACATGGCAAATCCTGGTAGAGAGCATTGGAATACTATTAAAAGGATCTTGAGATACATCAAGGGTACCTCAGATGCTGCATTATGTTATGGAGGATCAGAATTTACTATCAGAAATTATGTTGATTCAGATTTTGCTGGTGACCTTGAGAAAAGGAAGTCCACTACAGGCTATGTGTTCATAATTGCAGGAGGAGCTGTGAGTTGGGTTTCTAAACTTCAGACTGTTGTAGCGTTATCCACAACAGAAGCTGAGTACATGGCAGCTACACAAGCTTGTAAAGAAGCAATATGGATGAAGAAACTTATGGAGGAGCTCGGGCACAAACAAGAGAATATTCTTTTGTATTGTGATAGTCAAAGTGCCTTGCATATTGCAAGGAATCCAGCGTTTCATTCAAGAACAAAACACATAGATGTTCAGTATCACTTTGTTCATGAAGTGGTGGAAGATGGAAGTGTGGATTTTCAGAAGATTCACACAAAGGAAAACCCAGCAGATGCTTTAACGAAACCGGTTAACACTGATAAGTATATATGGTGCAGATCCTCTTACGGCCTAGCAGAAATGTAAGCAGCATGAAGATGACAAGTATAGAAAGGATAGAAGAAGCACAAATAATCAAGTGTGAAGACTTGATTAACTCATCAAAGTCTTCAAGTGGGAGAATGTGAAATCACCCTAACATTGTTGACAAAATCAACAATGTTTGTCAACAATGTTAGGCACCAATTTGTCAACAATGTTAGGCATAAATTTGGTGCCACCTACCTTGCCCTTGTCTTTTGCATGGATGCTTGCTTGCTCTTATCTTTTGCATGGATGTTTGCCTATAAATAGGCAATGCATTCAAGCATTATAGACACACCACAAGAGAGAAAGAAGAGAGGGTGAGGAGAGAATAATCCCACAAAATTGTGAGGTATTTGTGAGATAGTAAGTGAGGTGTTTTTCTCCTAATAATAGAGAGATTTTGTTGTTCTCCTATTATTAGAGAGAAGTTGTATTCCCACATTACTTAGTAAATCCTTCTATACTTGTCCGTGGACGTAGCCAAATTGGGTGAACCACGTAAATTCTTGTGTGTCATTTCTCATTTTATCTTGTCCCTTACCTTTTGTCTTGTCGGGTTTGCATGCCAGCATCCTAACAACTTTGATGACAAATGCCATTTTGGATAACGATTAAATCATTCATCATTCAGCAGGGTATATTCATATAACAAGACAATGAAAAAAAAAATCGCTACACAGAAGAACATTGCTCGCTAGAAATGAACAGATGGAAACAAATAAAGTAGTAGGGCTTCTTACTTCACCAAAATCATCTTCTCCAACAACACCAAATGGCACAATTTTTGCTCCGAACCTAGCTGCCATCCTAACAAACTCAGATTGTTCTGGCCAGAACAGCTTGTATTGTTCACCCTGATAAGTATAAAATGATTAGAAATCCAAGCTATTTGAGGCTTCAGCTTTTCGAATCCAACATATTTCATCATTTTAATAGCAACACGATACACCCAACCAACTCGAAACAGACCTGAGTTTCCTTTCTGTTCAGTAAATCAATGCTAAATCACAATTTTTGTGGAGTGGAGGACAATATACAGTTGAAATCGGCAACTTGACATCATACAGGATATATTAAATAAAAAACATTAGCAATTAGAATCTAAGAGGAGGAAACATATCACGGAAGAACCAATGGTGCCATATCTCAATACAAATAAGTCACGAGGTTCTTCTGATCTTGTGTGAGCTAATAGAAAAGGAGAAGAGCCATCATTACTTCACTGTCTTCCTATTTTCTGAAACAATTTCCTTCAGGGAGGCAGAGTACTAGAAGGATGGCATAATGCTATGCTACAATAGGATTGCAATCATTAGATGAAATTCTAATTCATGAACAATATGAATGTGGAACTTCTTTCAAAATTTAGTTTTGATTACGATGACAAAATTCAACCATTCAAAGTTACCTTGCGATGAGAGGCCTCACGGCCGCCTCCTGGGTACAATAACACATGAGCCTTTGAAGCTAGAAGTTTGTATAAATTGGTTCCTGAAACAGGAACTGCTCCCATTGCTCTAAATGTGTCAAACTGTGACAATGGAGGTAGCAATCGCTCTTTTTTGGTTCTTATGAAGAGAACTGGATGAGCTAAACCTCTCAGAAAAATATTTCTTTCCAACAAAAAATTGGATACCATCGGGGCCAGCTCAAATCCCATTAACATGTGATAACCAACGAACAAAACAGGTCCCTCCGAAGGGATTCCCGCAAGGCCCCTCACTATCTTCCCATCTTCTAAGGTTGAGAGCATGACAGAACTTATGGCAAGCAGAAACAACCTAAAACATCACATTTGAGAGAAAGGATTACTCATGATAAACATTATTCACTCCACCTTAATTACAGAAACTTTGTAAAATGACGACTACTGAAGTAACCATTATCTACTACAAAATATACTACCATAGCACACGATCCTGTATGGTTTTGAGAAACAGGAATTATAACTTATCTCTATAAAATGGCAAAATGATAGTACCTGTTTGGCTCGTATATTTGTTTAAATTCTAAAGGGGTTGGTGGTACATAATCCGAAACATAATCTTGGTGTGCTCCGCGACGATAAAAAGCAGAACCTTTGATGAGAGTTGCCAAATCAAAGACATCTTCCTGCCAAAATTGAGCACTTTTTTTCTTAAAAAAACTTGGAAGGCAACTGCTGACACGCGATATATTTTAGATGCACAAACAGAAAGAGAGAGTTTTTTTTTTTTTTTTTTTACCAGGAGAAGAAAATGACCACTTCCACTATAACTGCGATTCTGACACTTTGGAAGAACACGATTAAGTCTTTGACCTTCCTCTTCACTTGGCAGCAACTGATCCCTTCCGCTAAAAAGGACAAACAATGAACACAACCTCATCATTTTCAAAATTATCGGACTTGAAGGGGCAAAAACAAAAAGCACCACCACATCCAGGAAACATGACATTTGCATTCATTAAATAAAAAGAAGAAATATATGTGTGTGTGGAAGTTCCTGCTGTCATTCTACATGCAAATGGCTGTTGACTTCCATTGACTCGAATTCAAATGCGATGCAATGATAAAGAAATATTGCTGTTTATTGAATAAAAACAACTGCGGATGTTCATTCTGCAATTCAAATGATAAGGGTAACTTATGGCCTTTATTTAGGCGTTCACAAACGAAGCTGTTTATATTCAATAAACAGTGAGCGAGGATACCAATTTAATGTAGTCTGAGATTTTTGATATTTCAGGTTTCTTCTATTCAATAAAGATACAGTCAATAAATCTACAACTAAGCATTTTGCAGATCAAAAAAACAGAGGAATTCTGGTGTTTTTGTTGTCTTGAGCTATTTCAAAATATTATAAAAATCTCAACGGACTTGCACAGAGATTATATATTTCCAAGAAACTATTGTAACACAATGGATTGCAAAAGAGAAAGACCTAGAAAGTACAAGTGTTTGAGCTTTTACAGCATGGAGGTGTGAATTTGCAAATTTTGAAGCCACTTTCAACATATTTAGTTTCCATAGAAGTGTTTCTCTAGGTAGGAGAGCAGCTAAAACCTGTAGCAGAAACAATCACTCTATTTAGTTTCACAAGAACGACAAGACACTCCATAGCATGCCAAAGAACACCAACAGGTGGTTTAGCAATGTCTATGTTTCATTTTTCAACAGTTTAGATGATTTTATGCTAATCATGTCTACCATCATAGGAGAAATAAAGGAGTTCTTCACAATTTAAGTAAACAGTGTATCGTCTTACATCGAGGTTAGATGGAATCACGACAGCATCTTGTGATAATCCTTCAACTATTTCCAGTAGAGGAACTCCCTTTCTCGCATTATCTATTACCATCTTCAAAGGATCACCTAAATGTATACCTCACAATCAATGGTGTGAACTGGGAAAACTAGTAGCATGAATAATAAAAAACAAGCTACTTTTTCTGAAAAAAGAAATTATTGACTTCTGCAAAATCACTCCCAACTTTGCATATAAATAAGCAACTAAGACAGAACTCGGACTTGCTACAAAGCCTACAGATACAGCTCTCACGGGGCGGATCCACGGCAAGCTTTGTGGGGAGCTTGGCACCCCCAAGCTTGCTGTAGTTTCCAGTATCTATGCATAATAAAACTACCGGTGATGATCATTAGGCCTGTAACTTCTTACTTCGAAACATTAACCCTCATTCGTTAACTTCCATTGCATTAAAAGAAGTGGATGTTTTTATTTACTCCCTTGAAACATTCTCCACCTGTAAGCATGGAAACCAGATACGTGCATTGTAGCTGGTCCAAGTTCATGAAAGATGCATAGAATTTTCTAACTTATGGGCCGTCATCAACTGTTTGCTACTGTTTACCAAATTTATAGCACTATATGTATAAATTTTTTCTTCAATTTTTTCATAAAATTATGCATTTAGCCCCTTTAAAAATAAAATACTTGCTCTCAAACCTTATAGTTTTCATGATGGCCCAGTTAAAATTTTCAATTCCGCCCCTCACACCAATTATGAAAAGCACAAAGTCGATCGAAGACTTAGATTTTCAACAGTCGATGTCTTATAATAATCTACCACTTCTGCACTATATAATATTGTATCAAAATCTAGTGGAAGCTATAATAACATGAAATTGTTCAATACTTTATATTTTACTCCAATTCTCTTAGAATAAATAAATAAAAATAACAAGGAGATGGCTTGCAGAAAGAAGCTCAGCTTGCCTCCAGGTGGGCGTTGATACTTGATCACCTAATTTTGCACCTATTCCTAATCAGACAGCAGAAAGTAGATGGGTTCTTAATTTTCATGAAATGGCATCAGAATCACCCACGACTAACAAAAACTTTTTTGCATTGTTATGAAATTTGGTATAATGGTTTAAAGTTGAAAAATTTCTTAAGCCAAGTTTTAAAATAAATTATATAAAAGTTATTTTAACATGATTTTATTTACTGGATAGATTTAAAGAAAAAAATCAATTCAATACTAAAAAATAAAATTAAATAAAAACTTTATATTGAATAATGTAATTAAAAAAACTAAAAATAAAAAAAAACAACAAAATTTTATTATATAATAAAAATAAAATAAATAATTTACCATTAACTCAATAATAAAAAATAAAATTAAATAAAAACCTTATATTAAATGATATAATTGATAAATAAAAAATAACATAAAAAACTTATATTAAAAAATAAAATTAAAAAAATAAAAATAACCAATTAATTGAACCATGAACTTGTTAACAAAAGCCGAAGCATGCAGGCTTGAGCAAGGCCTGCAGGTCTGGGCTTGTACTTTTTTTATCCTTTATTTATTTTTATTTTTTAAAATATATTAACAAAAATCTAGTCATAAGGGTCTGAGTGAAGCTTGCATGCCTGAACTTGTATTATTTTTTATCATTTATTCTATTTATTTTTTTTTGAAAAAATAAATAAATTTTTTAACGAAAACCTAGGCACGAGGGCTTGAGCAAGCCTCTAAGCCTGGCCTCATTTTTTTTTTTTTTGTCATTTATCTTCTTTTAAAAAAAACAAATAACATGTAGTTTATATTATAAAGAAATATATTGTTGCCCCTGTTGATCCAACCCACAACCTCACATTATTTCTAGAAAATAATTCATCAAGCATGTTGTCCGAACCTACATTCTCAGGTTATCACCGCTACATGGGAACCATTGAGCTTAGATGTAAATTTGTTAACTGAACATATAAAGATAATATATCAAGCTTAGATATTTATTGTTCATATAAATAGTTAAACCGACGCCACACAAATTAGTTGTTTTTTTTTTTAAAAAAAAATTAGTTGTTTTAGTAATATTGAAGGTGCCACCACCATCTTTGGAGCACAAGACCTATGTGATATTAACCAAGCAATGCACACCAAGCTTCTGAAGGTCTGCACCACAGCAAAATAGTTCCAACACTCATCTATCCCTTGTCCAACCTAAAGGAATTTTGAAGATTATTGTTTTATAATTTCTTGAAAAATGACACCCATTAGCACATTTTGAAATCAAACTTGGTAAAATCAAATATGCATCTCAAGCAACTGACAAAAGCATAAACTGTAATTCTATGAACACTGAGATTGGACCTGTTATTAAGCTCAGAAAATAAGGCAGGCCTATAGAAAAAACAAGTTTTGATATCAATTTCTAATAAATCAAATAAGAATATGATAACTCAAAAGAAAAAAAAATGAAAAAAAAAAGTTGAAGCTCAATTGGATGATTTTTTTTAAAAAAAAATACGTAATTAAAAAAAGGTAGAAAAAACTCGATCTGAGGCTACTCGATTCAAGATGAAAAATATTTGACTGGTCATGATACTAGGATAACCATGTTTGAAAGTAAAATGAATAAAATTATGAACCTTAATTATTAAACAACTCATTATTGAAGGATGAAAATAAAAAAAAAATTATTTAAAAAAGTAATAAAAAAAATAAAAGTCAAACCAAGTTAACCTGCAAACCTCGCAACCATGGATACAAAATTAAGATAATCCAATAGAAAGGAAAGGAAAAAAAATATGCAGCCAATTTCTAATAAATCAAATATTGAAGGTTGAAATTGAAATAAGTCAATTTTTTTAAAAAAATTATTTAAAAAAGTCAGTATGCATCAACCTATTAATTAGTGACTCTGGTCATAAACTCATAACAATGAAAAACAATCTGAGTTAACCCAGGTTAACTTGCAAGCTCTGTGATCATAGACACAAGATTAAAATAACTCAATAGAAAAAAAAGAAAAAAAAAGGTAGGAATATCAATTTTAAATAAATAAAATATTGAAGAATAAAATTGAAATAAATCAATTTTACAAAAAAAACCATAAAACAAAAGTCTACCCATATCACCATTTGAAATTAATGATTTTGTTTATGAATCCGTGACTAATCTTTGAGAAGACAAATCATAAAAAAAAAAAAAAAAACACTAAACTAAGAGTGAAAAAAACATTAGCTTTTTCTTCTTCTTTTTTTTTTAAAAAAAACAAGCCAGCTAGTGTAAATCTTCTACACCCGGTATAATCTCTAAAACTCACAAACTGTAAAATTCTTGACTTAAGTTCAACCAAAAAATTTAATTCTTAGCCAATTTAATTTTGAAGGACGAAATCGTGAAAGAAAATCAATTTTAAAAAGTTATCAAATTAAAAAATATAGCAATAAAAATAATAGGGATCAAATTTGATTAAAAAAATATAAAGGATGAAATTGTAAAATAATATCTAAAAAATGAGCATAATAAAGATAAATAGTAATGAAAAAAATGATGACCAAAATTGAAAGATTAAAAAAAAATAAAAGGGGGGAGAAATTATTTTTTTATATCTAATTCAAAATAAAAAATAGAATTTAATATAATAAATACAGATTTAAAAGATGGAAAATGAAAGAGAGGTAAAATTGAAAGAACATTTTTAATTTTATAGCTTATTCAAATAAAAAAAACTAGTAATAAAAAGGATAGAGACCAGATATGAAGAAAAAAAATTGAAAGGGTTTGTCTAAACTTTTGAAGGGGTTGACAATGAATTCAAAGAGGAGAAAAAGAAGAAGAAAAAAAATGGCAATGAGCACTAAATTAGATGTGTGTTTGGTTTAAATACCACGTCATTATGAAGAAAATAGAGTGATTTTTTTAATGCTGTCTTAAAAGATGATATTTGATGGTCGGATAATCTCGCATATGCTGTTTAAATAATATGAAGGCCCCACATACTAACTTGTAATTTTATTGTACAATAAAAAGATAAATGAGTTAGAATCATTATTTTTTTTATGCTATGTTATATTAGTAATTTTATTGTACAATAAAAAAATAACCAAACTACACACAATTTATTAAAAAAAAAAACAATTATATGATGATGAAAAATAAAAATGCCTCTAATGCTTAGTTCAAAGTAATTTTTTTTAGTGAGGGACAATTGTGTTATTTCACTATTCTAATTAATGTTGAAATGTCTCTTGAACTATAATAATTTATCCTTCTCCTTAAGGTTTACACACACACACACACATAAATAATTTCATTTAAATAAATGAATTTGTTAATTTTCTTGATTTATTTTCAAATAAAATTATAAGATTTTGTGTTGTATTAACAAGTGTTTTTTTTTACAATCCTTGTCATGTCCAGCTTTTCAGTTAAATTATGTAAAAGCAAAAAAAATAGTTAACTTGGGATTAGAAATCTCATTTTTATCTTGAAAATTCATCTTCTTATCATTCAAGAAATTGCTCTCTATTTACAGCTTTTCAAAGGAGTTGATTGATGCATATTTTCGGGCATGAAAGTCCTAAACTACTTTCACAGGCAAGTGGAGCTTGATTGATTGATACCTTCATGGATATCCTTGACGAGCTGGGTTTATGTCGTGAGAAGTAATCTACTATGTGGTAGTTATATATGCTCTCCTATTTATGTAGAAACTTGGATTCCATTGTTATGTGATAAAAGGAGCTTGTGTATCTAATAATTTGAGCTTGTGTTTGATTATTGTTTTGAAATAAAATAAAGAGAAATAACTAGGATAAAAGAAGATATATTTTCGTATTTTTCTTGTTTTAAAATGGAAAATTCACTTTAAAAAAATAGATTTATTTTTATAATTTTATTTTTATCTTTTTCAAAAAAAATATTTATATCTCATTAATTTATATCTATTCTTTAATGTTGTGTTAGACCTTTAAATACAATTACTTGGGTTTGTTTTATTGTGCTTAATTTGTTTGAGATCGGCTCTGAACATTATCAAACATTCTAGTCCCATATTTGTGCAATTGGGTATTTAGGCCCTTCGTGAATATAATCCTATTGTCTTATTTTTTTAAAAAAAAAAAAAAAACTTTTGACAATTGCCCTGTAGCTGTCTACATGTTTAATCAAATTCAATTACTTTTATAGTGTTTTGGAAGTAGCCTCTTGCTTGAACTCGAATAATATATAATTATATATATATAAAGAGAAAAGTACAGGTTACCTTCATTTTTATATATTTAAATTAAAATATTATTTTTCATGGTGGGTTAAGAGTTGGAGGATTTTTATTTTAATTTTCCTACGAGTAAGAGGATTCTATTTTGGAGATTTCAACTCTTGCTACAAATCTTTAACCCCTAATAATAATATAAATTTTTTTTAACAATTTATCAATAATTCATCAAACAATTTCTTCACCGAACAGATATCCTGTGAGCACAAATTGGATAAAAATAAGAAGAAAAAAGCAAATGGAAGGTGGTTTATCACAATAATTAATAAATAAATCATCAATCATACTAATCAAGAAAGAAACAACATAACTAACCTTTATTAACAAATGTCCTTCGATTATTCAAAAATGTGTTCATGACTAATTTATTATTATTATTATTATTGAAAGGATCGTTTCATTTAGTTATTTATTTTGGTATTTAATCCGTATCTATATTTACGTAGCTGATAAGTTTTTAGCTCCATTGATTATTATTTTTTATATAATTTAATGTTAACAATTGAAAATATTACCATATAAAATAACACTTATTTAATATATATATATATATTAAATAAGTGATATCATTTATTTCTATTCAAATAATTGACTTTTTAATTTTATCATGGTCCAACAACCATTAAAGTAAAATAAATATATTTAGATAGTGATGTTCAACGGTTGACCTAAGTCTCGGCTCACAAGAGGGGAAGAAAATGGTACAATGATTAAACGTTTTTTCTAAAATATTTCAAATATTAGATTTATAATAAACACTAATAAGACGCACTTATTCCACGCATAAGACTTTTTCTATAAAGTGATTTCCCAGAGATTAAATATTTGGTAAGATTGGCATTTACCCATTTCATTATTACAAATATTCTTATGAGTTTTTAAACTAAATTTTGATTATTCTAAAAAAAACTGAATTTTGTTTAATTGGAAACAGAAAAGGATATGCAATTCCGAAAAGTAGAGAGACAATTCCTTCTTCTTCAAAGATTCCTTGTGGGCTGGCATCTGCTTTGATTTTCCTGACCTGTCACTTCGTGGGTGGGTGGGTTTTCTTCACATATTTATTACTGATTGCAGAAGCTTTAGATCAAACTAGGTTATCGTCCTTAGTTTTTAACCAGGAAGCATCCCCATAAAACACCTTTTTTTCTCTGTAGTGACATCCCCTTTTGCTCCCTTGATTTCATCCTCTATTTGCTCTCCGGCTTTTTTGTTTTGTTGTTCAGAATCTACAGCAGAGTGGGTTTTTTTTCCATGGCTTCTCCACAGAATACTTCAGAAAAAGGTTTTTTCCAAGCCAACTCTCCAGGAGGCATGCCAACCGTGAGTCAATCACAGAGAAGTCTCATCATGGCTCAAATTACACTGAGGTTCTTAGCCATTACTTCCACTATGACTGCTATTCCCGTAATGATCACTGCAAAGGAGCCAGTCTCCCTTCTCGGGCTGGCCATTACACCAAGTTACAAACAAAGTTCTGCCATGAAGTAATTACACACTAAACATATATATTCTTTGATTTTGTGGGGTTTTGAGAACTTTTAAGCACGTATTATAATTAGCTAGACAGGAGATATGCTAAGCCTTTTTGCTTCTGGGTTATTCTGCAGGTTTTTACTTGGTGTCAATGCAACTGTGTTTGCCTTCACTGTGCTGTCAATGCTCTTTGTTTGGCCTCTCAGGCGCTCAGGATCAAAGCCTATCAATTATTTTTTTCTTCATTTGCATGACATGGTAAGTGAATATATGTTGATTTTCTAACACATGAATATAAGCATAATTGTACAAACGTTCATTCATTGTCACCTTCTTCTGTAAATATTTCAAGGGACAACAAAAAATTAGTTTCCACCTACCTAATTAAAGTCATTCATCAAAAGTTTTCTTTTTTTTTTCCCACATAAAAAAGGGATAAGAAGAAGAGTTTAAAGAGAAATAAAATACTTTTAATAATAACAGTTGACTGGGGTTAAAAACAGTTAACCTATAAGACCTATATAAATGAAACAAGCTGTCTTCTTTATTTTTGTACTTTAGAAGTAATTTTGAAAAAAATTGATTTTTTTAAAATTTTTTATTTTAAATTAATACTTTTTATTTCTTTCACGTTATTATCATGTTAAAAATAACTTTTTAAAAATAAAAAATCGTTTTGATATATTATTAAATAAATTATTAAAAAAAAAACCACCACGGCTATATTTCTAAACACATCCAGAAAGAGCTACAAATGACAGATTCTATGGATTCACGTCCTGCATTCGTGCAAATTTGCTTCACGAGAAAAGATTCTCCCGACAATATAACATGTAGAAGGCTATAAAATGCAGATAATAGTGTATATACCGCAAAGCAGCCGGTCTCTCTACTTTTGGTTTGGTATTTAACTTTATATACTCGTTACTTTTTAATCTTCTTTGTTTAATTTTTGCTAAAAAAATGTTTGATTATATTCTATCCACCACCATATTGTAGAAACAACGTTCTTTAAAATAGCTAAACACCTCTAGCTTTAAATCGTCCCATGAGTTGATGCGAGGACGAAATTTGTATGCATGCAGGTGATGACGCTGCTGCTGATATCTGGTTGTGCAGCAGCAACAGCTGTGGGTTATTTGAGTCAATATGGGCAACCAGAGACTTATTGGTCTCCTATTTGCGATATTGTGAAGAAGTTCTGCCACCAAATCTTGATATCTACTGTGCTGTCTTACCTTGCTTTCTTTTGCTACTTGGCACTTAATATTCTATCTGTGCACAAACTCATGTCTCAAGCAACTGAGTGATTGGTGATCAGAGAAGAGGAGAGGCTGACCAAGAAGATTAAACAATAAGGTATTAAAAAGGAGGGATGGGGTAGAGCAGATTATAGGTGTCTTTCTTTCTTATGTTTGTCTGTCATTGGAAGCTACAGTATTGCTGCAGAACACACATTTTATAAATAGAATATAAGACGGACACATTTGTGTTTCGGATAGTTGTAAATTTTTGTTTCCAGGGTAGGTGGCTGGAATGTCACGAGCCTTTAAATTTAAGGGCATTTGGGTCATGCTTCATCACCTTTAAATTGAATCTTTATTCTTAACCACTTTTGCAGCCTCCACCATCCTCAAATTATATTTGCTAAGAAAGAATGTTATTATTACACAGGTTATTGTTTATCGCCAGAAAATCAGGACTGTAGAAATCATTGGAGCTCTCATATCCAACTTCCCCTAGTAACGTTACTGAGAAGCTCTCAGTTTATTTGGTGATAATCACAATAAGCACTAAAAGATGAACACTGATCGAAAACTGACTTCCGTTGCCTGTGTGAAGCGTGCAATAAAAAAAAAAATTCTTGTTTTTGTCTTGAATCAAAACAGAAGACCATGTTTCTAAAGATATAAAATTTTGCGGGTTTTATTAGACAGTATTTTAAAACCATTATGTACATAGATGTGGAAATGGAAGATAGAGATGAAGAAGAAAGTATCTTGTTGCTATTCCACGGTAAGGTATGGTACTGTGCTAGCCTTGCATGGTATAGTTTCAGTTCATCAGAGTACATGTGCAATTACACAGAAGAGGTCATAGAGGGTTTCATTCAGTTTCAGTCTCATCTTCAGAATCTTTGGGGTGCTCTTTTAGGGGCTGGCTCTGGATTTCCCACTTGTTGCGATCCCATGCTGAATCTATTTCAGGCAATAAATAGTCATCAGGTGCTAATGACAATTGGAAATCTGGTAGGTCAGGCGGTGCTTGTAGAGCCCTGCAACATTAACAATGTTAAAATTATGGTTTCGGACAGTAATTGTAAAAAAAAAGAAAGGTGAACTGAAATACAAATAAAGGTCAAGTAGAAAGCTGCTTACTTCTCTTCTTCCAAGAGGTAGCCATACATCTGAGACTTCCTTGCTGCAACTTCAGGAATTTTCTGATGCAAGTGCTTCATTGCACCCCAAAGTGGAGGGGATCTTCAGGAAAATCGAAGAAATAAGCGAAAATAAAGGATAGTAAAACAAATATTATTCTTAGGTACTTCTTACAAAAGACTGTCAAAACCAACCTGGTAACAGGAGCGTTGAGGCAAAAGGTTAAGCAGGCCTTCTTGCTCTCTGACAAAAGTCCATCTGCAGCTAGAAAACAGCATACAGCAGTAACATGACAGGCTGGTTCGGTTCCCTTGTCAAGGATCAGACCATGGTAGTAGTAAGCTGCAGCCTGATAAGTTATATGGAATAATCAGAACTAGTTGACGCAAAATTGTGATATGCAGCCCTAAGATTGATTTAGTAATCAGGATTTAAAGTTTATTGCTATGGAAACCTTTGCTTCAAGGAACTTCCACTTGATGAAACAGAGATGCTTCTTTCCATGCATATTACTCGTGTTAGACTCTGACAAGCAGTGATAAGCCTGAACAAGCATGGAGACAAACACTAACGATGAAACTTGAGAAACAACGAAGGTTGGCAAGGTTAAGATCTAAACAAACAAGGAAAGTACCAAGTACGTCAAGAAAAAGTACTTCAAAAATAGTCTTCCAGTATATTTCAAATGAAAGTTATATGTTCCTCCTTTTTTGAATGATGAATTCTACTGAAAAAGGCTTCTAAAATCATAACCCACAAACTAATGCAATAGAACGTTGTATCGGAGCTTGACCAGTTCAAGTCTTGGGAAGAACAAGAGCGTAGCGTAATCACAAACCTGACCGAAGTAGATCAGCTGTTCACATGCCAACCTCCTCTTCACCGACAATGAAGCCTTTTGACTTTCGACAGCTAAACCAAGTTGAATTTCAGTTCCCTGAATTTGACGATAGTATTAGTTTCCTCTAATTCGCATTTGATGATAAAATGTAAGTCAACGTGCCGTAGAATTGATTGTTACAAAATAGTAGAGGTAACCAAATGTCTGTTAGCCTGCATTTTGATGGAAACACATAAGCATAAGACAATGTCGGAGGTCGACTAGCATTATACCTGCCCTAGTGCTTGAATTGATATAGCCTCCAGGACACCATCCTGAAAATCTTCTGAAAACTTTCTCCTGGATACACAGAATCAATCACAAACATTTACATATTGACTTAAAGTTCCAGGAAAAATTCTTAAGTCTGCATATTCGTTTTCTTACTTGATATCTGGTGGTAAATGAGCCATGATTTCACTGACGCAGAATACCAAGCATCCTGATGCCTTCAGCAGTAAATCAACAGAATCCCTCTTACAATCTGAGTTTTATGTCATACATTTATCACAATCCCTTGAGATTTTGGAAAAAAGATCTTTGTCATAATAATTGAAGACTAAACATAGACCATTAAGGATACGAATGTGAACCTGAAGATACAACCCTGATGCCAGAACCAGAGTGATCCTTAGGGATCATCAACGAGTTAGCCTCAGACAAATTAAGCATTGCTATCATGTGAATGACGGATAGCAATTCAAACCAGGTGTTTGCCACAGAGTTTTCCTGTTGAATCATATTTGATCAATTTCAAATTACCAGTCTACTACCAACCAATGGTATTCTAGCTGAAGGCAGAGAATCGATAGGCTTACCAGCCGGCCATCTTCCAGATTTTTCCACTTGAATTCAACCAAGCCCTCAAGTCCATGTTCTGCAAGATACATAGACAATTCATTAGAAAAATATATGAAAGAGACTGACGAAAAGATTAACCTAGGAATGAACCCTCAAAACCTTTCTTGGTGAGCCCAATAAGAAGAGGCAAGTACTCTTCCAATGCCCTCCTCAGTTCAGCTACAGCAGATCCACCTGCATTGACCACAATTTGTATTGCAATTTAATTTCCTCTTCAATTATTAAAAAAATTCAAAGATCCCTTCCAACAGAAAAAATGAACAATTCCCAGATACTATAATGTATGTCCTTTTTCCTATTTCTCCACAGCAACCAAAGAGAACACAAACTAATGAAACACTATAAGCAGGATTGTGAGAAACAACAGACCAGTATCCTCAGCCACTAACACAATCTGATTGCGAAGACAAGCCAACCTATCAACAAGATCTTGAAGAATTAACCCTCTAAGTGGCCTTTGAAGATCAGATTGTGCTGGTATTCTCATAGAAGGAACGTACACCACCACTTCTGGTATACTTGTCTTCTTTCTCTTCCCGACTGCATACATAGAAGCACTGCACCCCATTTTTTCTTCTTTCAAGCTCTCTCCAATATAGCATTCTACACAAATTATATCACGTAAGAAACTCTCTATATAGCTTCTCTTTCAATAAGAAATACGTTGCAAGAAAAAAAAATAGCATTATTCATACAAATACAAGAGAAGTACGCAGTAGCAGTGGAAGATAACACGAAATGGAAGTGTCAACTAATAAAGATTAATTAAGAACAATAAAGACAAACATTAGTAATATAATAATAGAGAGAGGAGCATTAATGGAGTAGTGGGATACATAACAGCAGGAAGATTCATAGTTGATAAAGAAAGCAGACAAGTGAAGAGATCTTGATCACTCACAATTGGTGCAGAGAGAAGAGAGGAGTGGGTGAAAATGTGAAGCTTCGAGGATGCATTATAAATGTTGATGATATTAGAAGGAAGCGAGAGAGAGAGAGAGAGAGAGAGTAGGAAGCTCAGGAACCGAGACATGGCTCACATGGAGTCGTCGTCGAAATCTCTGCGTTGTTGAAGGAGCTCTTTGAAAATTTATAATCAACTTCTGTTACTATTATTTCTTTAATCCAAGCAAGCTTTTCAGTTAATTACTGGTTAATTTGTCCATTTATACTAACTTTATTTTTCTTTTTATCTGATGGTAATTTCTTTATTTTACTTCTATTCTTTCCAAGCTCCAAGCATGGCCTGTTTTATTCATCAGGCGGACAACTTCCTTATTTCTTACAAAGGTTGATGATCAGTCATCCGGGCCACCGGTACTACAGCATGCATATAATAACAAGAAAGCTAAAACGGAAAGCAAAACCAATGTGGTTATAGGTATATTTTACTTCATCACTACAGTATAATTATATTTTTATTTCTTTGATAAAAAAATCAATAAACTTGTCTTTAAAGATAATTCAGTCTTCGCGCATCGTACATAAATCATTTTGAAATTGTTAAAGAGAACAACGCGGTCGTTTTGCTTTTTTTTTTTTTTATAGCATAGTTAATAGTTAAGTTTTTGAATTACCTTTAAAAAGAAAGAAAATTAGCAAACCGTCCAATATTGTCATTTTCATCCTTTTCTTTTTTCTTGCATAGTCAAATAGCTGTAGTGTCCTTAAATAGCAAAAATGAAAAAACTCTTACCTAAGGAATATTTTGTCTTTTCACTCTAATTTTTTTTTCACTCTGATTTTTTTTTTTTTTGGTTAAATTGATGTTGACCTAGGAGCAATTTAGTCTTTTACTAAATAGGCTATAAACACATTTTACTATTCATCAGTATAGTATAATTACATTTTTATCCTTCCAAAAAAAAATAAACTTGCCTTTCAATGCAAGCATAAACAAAATAACAACAAGTATTGAAAAACAGCAAATAGGCTGAATCTGGGTTAAACATAATAAACCTTTAAATTTTATTCTATTTCCCAATTAATATTATGACCAAGCTTGCTTCCTAAAATTTTTTGCAATGTCTTTATAGGCTAGAAAAACTAATCTAGACCAGAAAATAAAATCAAAATTCCTAAACATAAAGGAAAATAGCATGAAATATAAAGTAAATAATAAATTTAAAAACATCTAGAAAAAATAACAAAACTAGCCCACACAATACTTTCTCAGCTTGAATTCTATTTTTGGAAGATCCAATGATGTGATAAGCGATCCAATTGCTTTTTACAATAAATTTTCCTGTAAAATCAACTAGAAAAAATTGAGTTTAATTCAATAATTAAATATTTTATTATTATTATTATTTAAAGTTATTATCATGGTCTGACATGATTATGTTTTTTTTAAGTTTAGACCTGTTTCATTAATCCATAAAAATATTTATTAGAATATTTATATGATTTGTATGATGTAGATTTTATATACTAGGTTTAACCTAGTATATATTTGTATTTCTATGTGTTAGTTTATGCTAATATTACAAATATTATATTATATAATAGTACATGTTTATTATATAACATTATATCTTTAGATATATCAAAGTACCACCATAACTATTTTTTGTGGGATTATGACATAATTGCAAATGTCATTGTTATTGTGGGATCAAAATTGAAAACAAAATTGGAGTTTCATCACATCAATATCCTTTTCAATTTAAAAAAAAAATGAAAATAACACACGGTAAGACTCTAAATTGTAGGTTTTTCGTAACAATTCACCTGTCTTAAAGTTGACCCTTGTTCAAAATAAACATGAAAGTAACTGGTGGCTTTCGAACTATGGTAAGAGCAATAATTGTTGAGTACTTATTAGCTATTAAAATATGAGTACATGAATCAGATCATGCGAACAAGAACTGTTTTGACTGCTTGGTGCATTGTCTAACAGCTAGGGTTATCTGTTGATCATAGGCCTTATCTACGCTACATCCAATGAAATCACAGGAGCATTGTTTCATTGAAATACTCTTTTATTCTTCGATAGCTTCCAAGTTTCCCCACATGGCAAAACACAATATATAATAATGTTTAAGACTTTTAGGTGGAATTATGCAGATTACCGTGATATGGGTTCCTGGGCTGTGTGGTCCAGCCGTCATGAAATCATAGATCACAAGGAAAAACCCTCAGCTCCATGACCATGTTGAATGTGTTCAAACTGTGTGTTTGCTTCTCATTTTTCGTTTTTAATCTTTATGCTAAAAACAGAATTTTGCTGTCAAATGATATTTAAATAGAGAAGAAGTGCTGCTGTGGTTTTGGATAGATCTGCCGTCAATGGCGCTAGGTTAAATAAATCTGGCAGCTTCCTGTATACGTGCGAGATGAGATAGGCAGGGTAGTTCGCATAAAGAAAATGAAGAGCAAGCTTCATTGATGCAGCATGCATGTTACTTAGGACAAGACAGCCTGGTTCATGGATGGCAGCAATCAACGTTCTTCTCTAGGCTTAAATCCCAGACTCCTGGTTGTCAGAGACTAATAATTATCAGCATTGCACAACTTAATGACAGCCGCCGCTGTGTGAGTAAATGGAGTGATAAATTTCAATTTGGTCCCTTTTGTTTCAATATGAGCTCAAATGTTTTTAATTAAAACAAGACTAACTAATTTTATGCAATTAAATCCTTGCCAAAAATCAATTGAGATCCCTCAATTTTAGCACCTTTCACAAACTAGCCATTGTTTTCCAAATTTTTTTGTTTTGATCTAAGCTCAAACGTTATTAATTAAAACAAACTGACTAATTTTATATAATTAGAGTACCCCTACTAAAAATTAATTGAGATCCTTCAAGTTTGGAGTCTTTTACAAAGTAGCCCTTGTTTTCTAATTTGTTTAATTTCATTCCTAATTAAGCCTTAAACTTTTACTTTCTTTAATTTATTCCCTAAAAAAATTCGATACAACACCTAATGTTTCTCGTCTTTTTTGGAAATATCCTTGGTCTTCAATTTTTTTTAATTTGACCCTCACTTAGTCCTTAAATTTCTTGCAATTGAACCCTTGATTGCACCAATTTGATCTTTTAAAGTTTCAATTGTATCCCTAATCTTTCAATTTTTTGTGAATTGATCCAAATTAGATCTCCAAACTTGATTATTTCTCAATTGAGTTCTTAATTGAATCTATAAAACCCATTATAAGTTTAATTAATTCCTTAAACTTAACTAATTCTTTTTATTTTGGTCAAGTTTAGATTTCGATCTTAATTTTCTTTCTATCTTCATCTTATATTGCCGAAATCTCGTAACCTAACTATTCTTCTAATATTTTGATCTTTTGCAACTCGAAAGCTTATCTCCTCATATCCCAAAAATATTTTTTGAATTTTGAATTTATGATTTTTTTATTTTTGAATATTTATTTTAATAAAATAATTTTTGGAGATTCAACATTGAATTATGACACTTTTAGTTATACCATTCTATAACCTAATTTGATGAGATTACACCTCCAATTATGGTAAAAATATAAACTAAATACAAGTTTCATTTTGGATATAAAACAAATAGAATTTGATCTCTTTTGATCTCTTTGGTTTTGTTTTTTCTTTCCTTTTCATTTTCCCCTCTTTTTTTATATTCAATTTTCTTTTTTTCCCCCTTAATTTCATTCATCAACAAGAAAACTGGTCTACCACCTCACTTGTTTAAATATTTATATGAACAGTGAAAAATGTCATTTTTTCATATATTTTTTCTTTCCTTTCCATTTTCCTCTCCATTTTTTTTTCTCAATTTCATCTATTTATATTTTTTTTATTTTGAATTTGTCTTTATAATTTGATTTTTTTTGTCACATTGTTTTAGTCAATCAAATATGCCAGTGTCCCAATACTAAAATAAAATGTCAATTTGATTATTTTAAAAAAATTCAAAAATCAAAGTATATTTTTTATTGATCATTTAGGTTAGTTGTAAACATACCAAGTTGAATAGGATACATTAGAAAAACTCTAACATGGTGGAACTTTAAACTCGAGTTAAATAAACAGTCAAATTAAAAGGTTTCAAAGTTGACCCAGTAACCTAGATTTAATAAGAATCCTAAATAATTCTAGCTAAGAAGTAATTAGCATATCAATTCAACAAGATCATCTAGTTTCCCATTCTTCAAAATTTATAGAAATTACAGCATTATAATATCTACTGGGTACGGTAGCCATTCAATCTTACTGAATATCAACATTCAATTTCTCAACAACCTTAAATGAAGCATTGTCACTGTCATTGCTGAAGCAAAGGACAATGAAGCATTGTTACGGTCAGAGTAAGAACTTCTCTCTAATGACTTCTGCAGAGAATGTTTATTAAAGCTCTCACCATTAATGTGGTCCAAAGGATTGCAGGTCACAACCAACTCTGGCCAAAGCATCAATGGCGATTCTTTGCCCAAAAACACGGGTTTTCCTCTGCGTCGACAAGGCATCTCTACGACGCTCAAAGTAAATATTCTTCAAAAATGCACTGATCTGAACATATTAGCCTCTCAGCTCTTCCTCAATCGGGAGATTTTATAGAGCTATGGAGATTTTTTTTTTTTTTTTTTAGATTAACGTGGATGTTCGGGCCAACTTGCGCGCACCACGACTAATCCCACGGGCCCTGAAGTTAACGACCATGTAAGCCTCCAGTGGCAATCATATGAGCAACCAAGGACTCGAACCTGAGACTACAGAGGGAGCAAACCCCTGGATCCCAAACTTTTACCACTTGACCACCTCCTAGATGGTTGCTATGAAGATTTATTGCCTATACTGCAGGTAGCCAAATATATACTTATCTCTTCATTGAACTCCATCCTCATTTGATACCACTACTATAGAACTTTATTCAAGTGAAATGAAACTGCTGCGAGGCTGCAGATTGTAGCGGGAAAATCTAAGGAAGATGTATATCAGTAATTTTCTATTGCCTTTACGAACCGCCCTTTCACTCGCTTTCTCGTATCAGCTCTAGCCTTCCTTGATTCATAACGGATACGTTTATCATATCTGTTCATGGTTTAGCACACCATTCAGTGACACAAAATTGGAATTTACTAAAAAATTTCAAGGTCAATGAAATGAGCTCAAGAGAGACTAGATACAAACAGACGAGTAAAAAGGTATCAGTGTCATCATGCCTTCGATTTTTCTTCTTTTCCCTGTACCGCAACATGGCGTTGCCTCTGTTCTGTGCAAAAAGTCCCGCATCACCCTTTTGTCTCACCTCATTTAGTGTTTCAAACCAAGTGAGAGAAGGTTCCTCCATGAGCTGGATATGTGCATCAGGCTCACCTGGCATGGATTCTGGAGACAGTCCTGTTAGGGGTGTATTGTTACAATTTTCTGTTGGTGGTTTGTACCTTGACAATTGCTGGTTGGAGCAACTCTGTAATTGACAACAATCTCATTAACACTTGTTATTCATGTTTCAATACAATCAGGAACAGATAAGCTGTGCAAGCAACATCAGCATTCAGATTTAACTATCTCAACGCTGATATTACAACAGAAAATGGCTAGAACCACAAATATAAGATATTACACTCTGCATATGGAGGCCAAACTGGGATATCTTGTGTTCCCGTTTATTCTGAATGATTCTCTATCCCTAGCCTGTTCTCATAAGAACAACTCATAGAATGTGGCTTGAAAATTTGAAATTTGCAGGACTAGAAACCCTAATTTCATTGATGCATATATTCGAGTTTGTTAATTTGTTTTCAAGAGAAGAAAAAATATGAGTTGAGTGCTACCATCATGAAAAATAATTCCATTAAACATCCCTCTAATGATTTCCCACATGCCTGCCTCTCCCTAACAGGCCAAGTATCAGGACAAAGGATATTTGCGTTGGTGATGGCAAGCCAAAACGACTTCAATTTTCTTCTGACTAGTCCCACAATCTAATAGTAGTTGAATTCATTCATACAGAAATAGGATATGAAATTTCTGACTTTATCTTCAGTTGAGCGACTTACATTTCTTGACAAGTTATCCTCACACGTTGTAGAGCAACAGCTCGTCACATGACCATCATCCAATACTTTCTGTGTAGCGAGGGCACCATCTTCAGTGAAGTCGACATAGTTCTTGACCATGAAACCAGGATCCTTTACATCATATCCTTCTTCTTGTGGACCAGGTATTGTACAATCTAATGATGTTCCAAGTTGGAAATCCCATACCTGAAAGAGCAGAAATGAAGGTGAACCACATAGCTCAGCTAGCCCTTTCTAATTGAAGCACATTATGCATGCTTCATGTAACTGGGAACAAGGCAGATCAGCAATTACTGAAGACAGAAAGCTGGCCTAGAATTTCTGAAGGAAAATGTCAGTCAATAGAACCCAAAAGGACTCAGCAACAATCTTTCCCAAACTTAGAATGAAATACTTAAAGATCATATAGCACGGGCATGCTAAGCTAATGAAATTAGCGATCAAAGAGTGCATCTCAGACTGGTGCCACCTCTCACTGCTTTGAATTAACTAGCTAATTAGTAGAGAATTTACTGTGGGTTTCAAATAGTGATTAAAATCAGCCAAAGGACTAAACATTTGCCTCAGACCTAGCTCTCAATAGAATTGCAAGATAGCTCAATTACACAAACATCATATTACCACAAAGCAATCTCAATTCTAAAGGTTGGCCCCAAACCTGAGCTCCTTGAGAGGTATAATTGCAATCCCACATGAAACCTAGATCAGATACACAGTCATTCTCGCTTGCATCTACATGATATGGCAACATAAGCAAAGAGGTAAATGGTGTTTGCTGGTGCAACAATTCTTCATCCCCATTCTCCAATTCAAGAATCTCCGAATTCCATTGCACTGCACATCTACTCGGTGGATTGTCAGGCCCCAATTCAGCTCCATCTCCATTCACTCTCACCACTCCCCTCTTTCCCATCTCTACTAACTGCTTATACACTTCTTGCCTACTCTTCCCAGAACTTGACAAAACAGAGAAATTATCACTTGAAACCGCAAAATCTTGAAAATTAACCCCATCTTGCTCAAACGAACACGACCCAGGAACAGAATCCACAAAAATATCAGATTTGAAATCAAACCCAAACAAAGAAGCAAGCTCAACAATTGGAGGGCAACCCATGAAACCTTCAACTGGATTTCTATTATGAAGGGAGGATACAGAAAAACTGCTGTTATGTGAATCCAAATCGCAATCTTGACAAAGAAAAAGATTATCATTTGAGCAATGAATTGAAGCAGGTTCAGCTCCGCAATTGTCACAGATCTGTGACCTTACATGCTTGAGAGACAGAGTATTTGAAGAGTGAATTTGCTGGTCACATAGCAAACAAAGCTTAGCAGAATCAGCTCTACAATACAAGATTGCTGCTTTTGAGTTGCAAAATTCACATGGTAGAAACAAGAAAGGGTCTTTCTTTTGTTTAGAATTTAAACACTTCTCCATTATCATAAAAAATAAAAAAGTAAGAATATCTCTCTCAAAACACTGTAGAATTGGATGAAAAAAGAAACCCAAGAAAAATACTATGTTTTGAGTATTAAAATCGTGAAGCTGTGAAGGAAAAATGATTGGAATTGGTTTCGGTGGGTTAAGTGAAGAAGAGGGAGAGATATTTGATTAGCTTTGAGCCTTGAAGCTTAGATGCAGTATTATAGGTTTGTCATCAAGTGATGGATGTATTGACGCACATGATAAGCATGAAAGATATGCAGACGTCAAGTCTACATAAGTGAGGGTCCACATGTTGATTCACTCTTTTGCCGGGAAAGTGAATCTGCGTCTTTTAGTGCTTTTTACTTGTACTTTTCTGTTTTTAGCTTTTGACCACGATTTATATTTGTACATGTTTTTATTTTGTTTAATATCCCAAACCTATTTTCAAATGGTGGGTCCTAGTTAATTTTTAAAATTCTTGGATTTAAATTTTAGAGTTACTACTTGGTAGAATTTATTAAAATTTTAATTTATATCTGAAAAATTTAGTTAAAAAGGAAAAATTATTACAAGAAACGCTAAAAAAAACTATATATTTGATTCATGCTTTGTCGTAGATCAAATATTTTTTAAAAATAAAAAATTATATACATAATTTTTTCAACATGTTTCTGTAGTTAATTTTTTTTATCTATATGTGTATAATCAAATAAATTAAAAATTATCTAGGTTAATACATAAGAAAAAAAACTATAAATGATAACTAAAAGGAAATAAAAATTGAAAGACAAATTACATCAAGATATTTAAACTCAATAGCCAAGAATTTACCCAATTATGCCTGCTAAATTTTTTATTAAAATAATTTTTATTGAAGTAAATAATAATAGAAATAGAAACATTAATTAAATTGATTTAATAAAATAAAATAAAATAAAAATATATAAGACTGCACATATTAGAAATATTAACTGAAATTAATTTTTTTATTTTAAAAATAAAGTTCATCTATAAAGGATATTATAAATGAATCAGAAAAACTCTTCAAAAATTTAAATAAAAAATTATTTTTGTTTAAAATAGGCTCTTTAAATAAAATAAAAGAGAGAACTAATATTAATCTAAATAAAGAAATTAGAGAAAAAACCATACAAAAAATCATTAATTTTAAAAAAATAATTAGAAAGAAAAAAGCAAAGGTCAGGAGCTGCTAAGTTTGGCAAGTCAGGTCAGCTTACTTGGCTCATTTCATCAAAACACGCGCGATTGAACCCTTATTTTTTGCAATTAGGTGTCCACACCAAAGTTTTTTAAAATAAAATAAAAATCCCATGATGCATTACCTCCTGTGATAGTCGATGCATCGTCTAACTTGCCCAGGTTTTGACTACTATGATAGTTGAAAAATTAAGGTTTAAGTTTTTTTATTTAAAACTCATTTTCAACTTATTTTGATCTAAAACATCTTAAGAACCATCATGATAAGCGTATCCATGGCCTAAAAAAACTATCCCAAAAATCAAAATCAACCTGGAACAAAAAAAAATGAGCTTAGAACTCTTTTTATCAAATGAAACCATTTGACACAAGTATCGACCATTTTGGTGGCTTAAATCGATGTCAAAGATATTCTTCTTTCTTTGCAACTAGAATCCAATGGCTTTTCTCTCTCTTTTCTTAATTATAGACTTAAAAACAATAAAAATGAACTTATGCATCAAAATTGAATTTGAAAAGGATTAAGGCACTTAAATCATATAGTTTACTTTATTTTTAAAGTTAGAAGACCCAGGTGTATCTTACTCGAAATTTTTAGCACGTCATCCATGTTTGGTGTATTTTTAATTTCAATTTCTATTCTTACAATTCCATCATTGCCTAAGAATTCTGAATCAATTAGCCTTTAATTAGGATCAAATCATCCAAAATAAAATTTTGAGGACTAAAATAAATTTTTAAAAAATAAATAAGGTCATTCATAGTGTCTAGTAAGAAGATGAGCAATGTTGGTTGCATAGTATTCACCTTTCGTGTTATAGTTTTTAAGGTAATGATATAAGTGGAATTAGACCATCGAAGATTATTAATAAAAGATTGTTATTATGGACTATCAAATCTAAAACTTTCTTTAGAATCACTTGAAATTGATTCTTTACATGTATTAGTTAGGAGTATTGAAGGAAAGAAATATCATCTTAATACTCATTAAACACTTTAATGCTAGTGAACTTAATTATCACTCTAATAAAAATAAACTTTTAGCCATAAAAATAAGCATTGAGAAGTTTATAATATTTTTTTTCCTAAAATATTTTTACTTAGAAGTAATAATAAACAAGTTAAAGCCTTTGTATACAATAACTTGTTAACATTAAAGAACAAAAGATTGATTGGAAGGTAGGTATGGTTTGCTATATATATATATATATATCAAAAGAGAGTCTGGTAAGAGAGGTTGCTAATGAATCACACACATCACTCAAATCTAAACTAAGTTATATAATCTCTTTTTTCAATATCAAGATAAGAGTTACCATGATAATTAAGAATCCTTATAATCTTAAGTCAAAGTTAATCCATAAAATAAATACTAATAGAGATAATTCTTTTAAATATTATAAAAATAGGCTTAAAAATAAATTCAAATATGAGATTATATTATCCTAGTTTGGAGATCCAATATATATACTTTGAGAGAGTTTTATTTTTTCTAGCTATAGGTGAAACTCAAAGAAAAAAAAACTATGTAAACCATTATAGAAAAATAGCTCCTTCAAAACAAGAAAAATTAAAGGATAAAGATAAATGAATTATCTTAAGAGAGATATAAAAAAATAAAGGTATTAACATTGAAAAATACACAAAACAATTATAAAAACTAATTTTTAAAATACAAGTTAGTACATGAATGTATGACCATTAATAAATGGCTCAAAAATCTATACCATAAAAGCTACAACAATTACAACATATATTCTAGAGCTAACCCTAACAAAGTCTTTAGTCTTTATGAGTAATGATTAATTGTTTCAATATATCCAAAACTTAAACTACCAAAGAGTAATGAAATAAATGATGCAATTTGAGTGGTTATTGACCAATTGACCAAGTTTATTTTATTTTTACCTATGAAGATAACATAAATTAGCCAAATTATATATTTATTATGTAATTAGATTATATGGAGTCCCCTAGTGTCAATTGTTTTAGATTAGAATCCTTGATTTACTTTCTATTTATAGCCAAATATATATAATGTTTTAAAGATGAAAGTGATTTTGAGTATCATTTTTCACCCTCAGACTAATATACAATTAAAAATGACTATTCAAATATTACAAGACCTTCTAAGGTTATGTGCTTTAGATTATAGATGGAGCTGAGATGATCATTTGTTATTAGTAAAATTTGTATATAACAACAGATATTAGGCTATCATAGATATGACCCTGTTTGAGGCATTATATAGGAAGAAATGTCATCCTCTTTTATGTTAGGATGAAGTTGGCAAAATAAAACTACAAAGAGTGATCATTTTCGGCTCAGTTTGGTTTTTACCTATAAAAAAAACCAATTGAAATTTTAAAAAAAAATCTAAACCAAATCGAACCTGATTCCAACCAATCGATTTTGGTTCAGTTTTCTATTTCAAAAATTGAAAAAAACTTGTATTATTTTTTAACATCCAAAAGCCACAAAATCAAACCCATCTTCATCACCAACAGCCCCCACGACAGTATTGAATCTATACCAGTCTTTTCTCAAGCAAAAAATCTCTTACAGAACCACAAAAATATATTGCACTCTCTCACAGTAATCAATCACTCTTCACTATCACAAATCTAGAAACCTACATCATCAACTCTCAAACATAAACCATCACCACCATAATAAACATTACTCAATGCCCACTACCACTTTCTTTACCTATATTCTTTCATAAAAAAGAAAAAAACCTAGCAACTGCCAATAACCTAAACCACAGAATTAAGTTCAACCCCCACCTTTACTGCCTCTACTAATCACTAGCAAATTGAACAAATCTTACTGCAATTGAGGCTTAGAGGTATTGCTGGGATGATAGATCTGGAGATGATTGAAGAATGAAGATTGAAAGTTAGGCGTGATGTGTCGGGGCGGGGGAAGTTGAAGAATGAAGAATTAATTATGAATGCTATGAAGAATTAATTGGGTGTGAACTTTTGAGAGTTGGGTGGGGGTAGTTGAAGAACGAAAAATTAATTGGGTATAGACTTTTGAGTTTTATAAAGAATTAATTAGGTATAAACTTGTGAGTGTTTTGGAAGGTTGTGAGGATTGAGGAGGTGTGGTGTGGGTTTTGTGGCATGTTTATGAAGGGTATTTAAAGAAACTTTTTATTTTTAATTTAAACAAATTCAGTTCATTTTAGGTTGGTGGTTTAAGTATTACAAAACCAAAACTAAATTGAACTAGAATTTTTTTTAAATATTGTAATTGATTTAATTTGTTTTTTTCATGGTTTGGATTTTTTGGTTAATTTTTTTCTAGTTTTCTCGGTTAAATCAATTTTTTGATTTTTTTACTTACCCCTAAGGATAAGAGTTAGTGCAAATGACTACAGTTAAACTTCAAAAAATTAAAGAAAAAAATGAAATAAGGCTAAGATAGATTAAAAAAATTATTTTGATAATCAAATAAAACTAATAGAATTCGAGGTAAGAGATTAGGGGTTATTGAAGGTCACTCCCTAGAAGAATGTAATTTGATTTGGAAAGAAAGGAAAACTAGCACTAAGAAATATCAGTCCCTTTGAAGTTAGGGAGAGGATTAGACTAATCGCCTAACAATTAGCATTGTTAGCACACTTATCAAAGATAAACAATGTGTTCTATATGTCTTAAGTATTTCTCATAGTGCCAATAGAAATTTAAGAATACTTAACATTTAAGGTTAAGTTTATAAGAGTTACTGATCGAACAAAAAAGAAATTGCAAAATAAAATGGTGCCTCTAGTAATAGTGACGTGGATGAAATCTTGAGTAAAAGAGAAAACTTGAAAAAAAGAGTAAAAATAAAAAAATAAGTATCTAAAACTTTTTTTTAAAAAGATAATTCCTAATTTTACAAATAAAATCCTAAATACAGGACAATTGTAAACCCCATTATAAATCACTTAAATTTATTATTATTATTATTATTATTA